TGTGTCTGTGTGTGTGTGTGTGTTGTGTCGTGTGTTGTGTGTGTGTGTGTGTGTTGTGTGTCGTGTGTGTCGTGTGTGTGTGTCGTGTTGTGTGTGTGTGTCGTGTGTGTGTGTGTGTCGTGTGTTGTGTCGTGTGTGTGTCGTGTGTGTGTGTTGTGTCGTGTGTGGTCGTGTGTGTGTGTGTGTGTGTGTGTGTTCTGTGTGTTGTGTCGTGTGTGTCGTGTGTGTGTGTGTGTTTGTGTCGTGTGGTGTTGTGTGTGTTGTGTCGTGTGTGGGTGTGTGTTGTGTGTTGTGTCGTGTGTGTCCGTGTGTGGTCTGTGTGTCGTGTTGTGTGTGTGTCGTGTGGTTGTGTCGTGTCGTGTGTGTCCGTGTGTGTGTGTGTGTGTGTGTGTGTGTGTCTTGTGTGTGTGTGTGTGTCGTGTGTGTGTGTCGTGTGTGTGTGTGTGTGTGTGTGTGTGTGTGTGTGTGTGTGTGTGTGTGTCGTGTGTGTCGTGTGTGTGTGTGTGTGTGTCGTGTGTGTGTGTGTGTGTGTGTGTGTGTGTCGTGTGTGTCGTGTGTGTGTGTGTGTCGTGTGTGTGTGTGTGTGTGTTGTGTCGTGTGTGTGTGTCGTTGTGTCGTTGTGTGTGTGTGTGTGTGTTGTGTCGTGTGTGTGTCGTGTGTGTGGTGTCGTGCTGTGTGTGTGTGTGGTCGTGTCGTGTGTGTGTTGTGTCGTGTGTGTGTGTGTGTTGTGTCGTGTGTGTCGTGTGTGTGTGTGGTGTGTGTGTGTCGTGTGTTGTGTGTGTGTGTCGTGTGTGTTGTGTCGTGTGTGGTTGTGTATGTTGTCGTGCGTGTGTGTGCGTGGTTGTGTCGTGTGGTGTCGTTGTGTGTTGTGTGTGTGTCAGCTGTGTGTGTGGTGTGTGCGTGTGTTGTGTGATCGTGTGTGGTGTCGGTGGTCGTGTGTGTTGTGTGTGTGTTGTGTCGTGTGTGTCGTGTGTGTGTGTGTGTGTGTTGTGCTGTTGTGTGTGTGTGATAGGCTGTGCTCGAGTGTCGTTGTACACAGTACGACTCGGTGTCGATGCTTGTGGTACGCACGATGTGCTATGTGTGTGTCAGTGCTCGATGGCTAGATGTACGGATCAGTCACGTGATTCGTGGGTCGAACCATGGGACACAACATTGTGTGGGATGTCGTCGTGTGGTGCTGTTCTTGTCTGTGTGTGTGTGTTGGTTAGTGTTGACGTCATGGGTCGTACGTCTGCAGTTGTGTGTTGCGTCCGTTACTATGGTTATGTCTGGTCCCTCGTTCCACGTTGTGACGTCTGCGATCGTAGAGTGACTTAAGGTGCCCGCCATCGCTCTCCGCTCTCCTGAGACCGCAACACGGACGAACCTCGCAAACGGACGCACGGCACCTCACAACACACACACAACCCTACACAGCACCACCGTCACACAACCAACACACCTAACACGCAAAGCACCTCACACAACGTACGACCCCACACAAACGCACACAGCCTTCAACACAACCACCACTCCTCACTGCGACGCACAACACACACGACACCTCTTCAGGGACACGTCGGCACACACCCCTCACACACACACACACACAACACAGCCTCACAAACACGCACCAACCATCTCACAACACGCACAAACTCACACAACACGCACAACACCTCACAACAACACACACAACACCTCACGCAACACGCACAACACCTCACAAAACACTCAACACCTCAGCGACGCACAACCCTCCGAAGACGCACGAACTCACACACAACGACACCTCACAACGACGCACAACACCTCACACAACACACACAACACCTCACAACGACGCACAACACCTCACAACACGCACATGACACCCTCACGACGACGCACAACACCTTCTACAATCTATAAACTACCTCTACAACACCGCACAACACGCAGCAAACCTCACGACGACGCACACTCCACAACACGAGCGGGGCGAAAACACAACCGCACAACACTCACACATCTCACACCGCGCACGACACCTCACGACGACGCACACACCTCAACCACAACACAAAGCAACCTCAACAACACCTCACAAGCGACTCACAACACCTACAACAACACAACACAACTCCTCACAACACGCACAACACCGTGCACCAACGACACAGCACAACGACCTCACAACGAGCACATACACGCACACACGTACCATACAGCCTGTCACACAACACGTCAAAAAAACAACACTCACAACAACACACACACACCTCTAGCCACACGCACACCTCACAACAAACAACACTAACAACTCACAATCGACATCCACAATCACAGACAACGACGCTACAACACGTCACAACGAGCGCACGACACGCTCAACGACGACGCACAACACCTCACAACGACGCACAACACCTCACACACAAACATGCACACAATGCTCCGGTTCCGGTCTTCATGTCCTGGTCTCAGTCCTTGGTCCATCTAGTCCCTCAGGTTTCCAGGTAAGTCTCGTCAGTCCGCAGAGTTCAGGTCCGGGTCCGGGTCTCACCTGCGTTGGCCTTGTGCAGCAGGTCGCTCAGGTTGACCAGCCCCGTCTGGCAGTCGACGACAAACCCTGGAATGATGGAACGAGGCGAACGAAGCTCCGTCCACGTTCAGGTTCACCTGGTTCTGCATCCCCTCCTGCGGACCACACCACACTCAGGACAAAACCTCTAGACCCGGACTAGACCGGACTTAGGACCCTAGACCGGGACTGAGACCGGACTAGACGGACTAGAACCGGACGTAACCGGACTAAGACCGGGGACGTAGACCCGCCACTAGATGACGGACGACTAGACTCGGACTAGACCGGGACTGACCCGGACTAACCGGGACCTAGACGGGCCTAGACCGGGACTAGACCGGGACTAGACCCGGACTAGACCGGGACTAGACCGGGACTAGACCGGGTCTAGCTCAGTGGGCTGTGAGCCTGACCTGCAGCAGGAGCATGAGCTCGGTGTTCTGGATGTCGACCGCGATGTCGAACGGCGTTTTGTCAAACTTGCTGAGCGCGTGGACGTCGGCGCCGTGTTTGATGAGCGTCTCTGCGACGCCGTGGTGACCGTGCTGCGCCGCCCAGTGCAGCGCCGTCATCTTCAGCATGTCTTTGGCGTTTATGTCGGCGCCGCTCTGACCACGACACACACGACAACAACAATACACACAAGTGTCAGAACACACACAAGAACACACACACACCACACACACACACACACACACACACACACACACACACACACACACAACAACACACACACAACACACACACACACACACACACACACACACACACACACAACACACAACACACAACACACACACACACACACACACACACACACACACACACACACACACACACACACACACACACACACACACACACAGAACACACACACAACACACACACACACACACACACACACACACACACACACACACACACACACACACAACACACAAACACACACACACACACACACACACACACACACACACACACACACACACACACACACACACACACACACACACACACACACAACACACACACACACACACACCACACACACACACACACACAACACACACACACACACACACACACACACACACACACACACACACACACACACACACACACACACACACACACACACACACACACACACACACACACACACACACACAACACACACAACACACAACACACACACACACACACACACACGCACACACACACACACACACACACACACACACACACACACAACACACACACACACACACACACACACACACACACACACACACACACACACACACGTGTGGGTCTCACCCGTACGAGCAGTTCTACGATGACGGTGTGTCCTTCGGCGGCCGCCATGTGCAGGGGGGTGCGGTCCACTTTGGTGCGAGCGTCTCTGCTCACTCCGGCTCGCAGCAGCACGTCCGCCGTCGAGTAATGTCCATGCTGCGCCGCCAAGTGCAGAGGCGACGTGCCCAACTGACGCACAAACACAACAACGTCACACAACCACGTCACACAGCCACGTCACACAGCCACGTCACACAGCCACGTCACACAGCCACGTCACACAGCCACGTCACACACCACGTCACACAGCCACGTCACACACACGTCACACGCCACGTCACACACACGTCACACACACACACAACACGTCAACACAGCCACGTCACACAGCCACGTCACACAACAACGTCACACAGCCACGTCACACAACAACGTCACACAGCCACGTCACACAGCCACGTCACACAACATCACACAACCACGTCACACAGCCACGTCACACACAAACATCACACACATGACCCGACGACGAGATGAGAAGATTGTACGAGACCAAACATGAGCGTGAAATAAAACATGTGTGTGATGAACATGTGAGATGAACATGTGTGAGATGAACATGTGTGATGAACATGTGTGATGAACATGTGTGAGATGAACATGTGTGAGATGAACATGTGTGATGAACATGTGTGATGAACATGTGTGATGAACATGTGAGATGAACATGTGTGAGATGAACATGTGTGTGATGACATGTGTGTGATGTGTGATGAACATGTGTGATGAACATGTGTGATGAACATGTGTGATGAAACATGTGTGATGAACATGTGTGATGAACATGAACATGTGTGAGATGAACATGTGTGATGAACATGAACATGTGATGAACATGTGTGATGAACATGTGTGATGAACATGAACATGTGTGATGAACATGTGTGTGAACATGTGTGATGAACATGATGTGTGTGATGAACATGTGTGAATGAACATGTGTGTGATGAACATGTGTGATGAACAGTGTGATGAACATGTGTGATGAACATGTGTGTGATGAACATGTGTGTGATGAACATGAACATGTGTGATGAACAATGAACATGTGTGATGAACATGTGTGTGATGAACATGTGTGTGATGAACATGTGTGATGAACATGTGTGTGATGAACATGAATGTGTGTGATGAACATGTGTGATGAACATGAACATGTGTGATGAACATGTGTGATGAACATGTGTGATGAACATGTGTGTGATGAACATGTGTGATGAACATGTGTGATGAACATGTGTGTGATGAACATGTGTGATGAACATGTGTGATGAACATGTGTGATGAACATGAACATGTGTGTGATGAACATGTGTGATGAACATGTGTGAGATGAACATGTGTGTGATGAACATGTGTGATGAACATGTGTGTGATGAACATGTGTGATGAACATGTGTGAGATGAACATGTGTGAGATGAACATGTGTGATGAACATGTGTGTGATGAACATGTGTGAGATGAACATGTGTGATGAACATGTGTGAGATGAACATGTGTGATGAACATGTGTGATGAACATGTGTGATGAACATGTGTGATGAACATGTGTGATGAACATGTGTGTGATGAACATGTGTGAGATGAACATGTGTGTGATGAACATGTGTGTGATGAACATGTGTGTGATGAACATGTGTGATGAACATGTGTGTGATGAACATGTGTGATGAACATGTGTGTGATGAACATGTGTGAGATGAACATGTGAGATGAACATGTGTGATGAACATGTGTGTGATGAACATGTGTGTGATGAACATGTGTGATGAACATGTGTGATGAACATGTGTGTGATGAACATGTGTGTGATGAACATGTGTGATGAACATGTGTGATGAACATGTGATGATGAACATGTGTGTGATGAACATGTGTGATGAACATGTGTGAGATGAACATGTGAGATGATGAACATGTGTGAGATGAACATGTGTGATGAACATGTGTGTGATGAACATGTGTGAGATGAACATGTGTGTGATGAACATGTGTGATGAACATGTGTGTGATGAACATGTGTGTGATGAACATGTGTGATGAACATGTGTGTGATGAACATGTGTGTGATGAACATGTGTGATGAACATGTGTGATGAACATGTGTGATGAACATGTGTGATGAACATGTGTGTGATGAACATGTGTGTGATGAACATGTGTGATGAACATGTGTGTGATGAACATGTGTGTGATGAACATGTGTGTGATGAACATGTGTGTGATGAACATGTGTGTGATGAACATGTGTGATGAACATGTGTGATGAACATGTGATGAACATGTGTGAGATGAACATGTGTGTGATGAACATGTGTGAGATGAACATGTGAGATGAACATGTGTGATGATGAAACATGTGAGATGAACATGTGTGTGATGTGTGATGAACATGTGTGAGATGAACATGTGAGATGAACATGTGTGAGATGAACATGTGTGATGAACATGTGTGAGATGAACATGTGAGATGAACATGTGTGATGAACATGTGTGTGATGAACATGTGTGAGATGAACATGTGTGATGATGAACAACATGTGTGATGAACATGTGTGATGATGAACATGTGTGATGAACATGTGTGATGAACATGTGTGAGATGAACATGTGAGATGAACATGTGTGATGAACATGTGTGAGATGAACATGTGTGAGATGAACATGTGTGAGATGAACATGTGTGAGATGAACATGTGTGAGATGAACATGTGAGATGAACATGTGTGTGATGAACATGTGTGTGATGAACATGTGTGTGAACATGTGATGAACATGTGTGAGATGAACATGTGTGAGATGAACATGTGTGAGATGAACATGTGTGAAGATGAACATGTGTGTGATGAACATGTGTGTGATGAACATGTGTGTGATGAACATGTGTGATGAACATGTGTGATGAACATGTGTGAGATGAACATGTGTGATGAACATGTGTGATGAACATGTGTGATGAACATGTGATGAACATGTGTGATGAACATGAACATGTGTGATGAACATGTGTGTGATGAACATGTGTGTGATGAACATGTGTGAGATGAACATGTGTGATGTGATGAACATGTGTGATGAACATGTGTGATGAACATGTGTGAGATGAACATGTGTGAGATGAACATGTGTGAGATGAACATGTGTGAGATGAACATGTGTGATGAACATGTGTGATGAACATGTGTGTGATGAACATGTGTGTGATGAACATGTGTGTGATGAACATGTGTGTGATGAACATGTGTGAGATGAACATGTGTGAGATGAACATGTGATGAGATGAACATGTGTGAGATGAACATGTGTGAGATGAACATGTGTGAGATGAACATGTGAGATGAACATGTGTGATGAACATGTGTGAGATGAAACATGTGTGAGATGAACATGTGATGATGATGAACATGTGTGATGAACATGTGATGAACATGTGTGATGAACATGTGTGTGATGAACATGTGTGTGATGAACATGTGTGAGATGAACATGTGTGAGATGAACATGTGTGATGAACATGTGTGAGATGAACATGTGTGTGATGAACATGTGTGAGATGAACATGTGTGATGAACATGTGTGTGATGAACATGTGTGATGAACATGTGATGAACATGTGTGAGATGAACATGTGTGATGAACATGTGTGAGATGAACATGTGTGAGATGATGAACATGTGTGAGATGAACATGTGTGAGATGAACATGTGTGTGATGAACATGTGTGAGATGAACATGTGTGAGATGAACATGTGTGTGATGAACATGTGTGAGATGAACATGTGTGATGAACATGTGAGATGAACATGTGTGATGAACATGTGTGAGATGAACATGTGTGTGATGAACATGTGTGTGATGAACATGTGTGATGAACATGTGTGAGATGAACATGTGTGAGATGAACATGTGTGAGATGAACATGATGTGTGTGATGAACATGTGTGTGATGAACATGTGTGATGAACATGTGTGAGATGAACATGTGTGATGAACATGTGTGAGATGAACATGTGTTGATGAACATGTGTGAGATGAACATGTGTGTGATGAACATGTGTGTGATGAACATGTGTGATGAACATGTGAGATGAACATGTGTGATGAACATGTGTGAGATGAACATGTGTGAGATGAACATGTGAGATGAACATGTGAGATGAACATGTGTGAGATGAACATGTGTGAGATGAACATGTGTGTGATGAACATGTGTGAGATGAACATGAGTGAGATGAACATGTGAGATGAACATGTGTGAGATGAACATGAGTGAGATGAACATGTGTGAGATGAACATGTGTGAGATGAAGCGGCAGCAGAAGATGCTCCAGAGGAGCTGCAGTTAAAGTGCAGTACCCAGTCTGTGGTGAAGGGGGCGCCGTTGGCCATCAGGTTTCGCACCTCGTCGTCGTGACCTTTGCGGGCGGCCTCCAGGAGGCGCTTTCCCAGGTCCACCAGCGACATTTGCTGAAACACAAACAAAGATTGATTAAAAAAGCTCGACACAAACGAGCTCCGAACAACAAGAGGAAAATCAGCAGAAGAATTTATTCTGTTTGATTCAGATGCAGCAGGAGCAGCTTTTCTTTACACTCTGGACCAGAACCGGTTCTGTTGGTCTGATCTGAGACTTTACCTGAACACAAGTTCTAAAAGTGTAAATGGTTCAAATCATTTCCTGTGGATCAGTAACGTTTGAGTCTGAATCTGAACATGGATCTGTTGGATTTTTGTTTTCTTCACATTGAACACGACAGTTAAACAGTAAAATCATCTTCATCTTCATCAGGGTCACTGAAAAGATTCACACATCGTCCTATCAAAGTGTGATCTGTGCGACAGAAACACACAAGATCACAGAGATCACACTGTGATGATGTCACCACACTGTGATGTCATGATGACATCACACGTCACTGCACTGAGCGTGTGTGTGTTTCTGGTTTCATATAAATAATGTTTCTACACTTCACACGACTCTATAACTCAAACTGATTCAAGCAAAAGGCAGGTGCAGGCAGGTGCAGGCAGGTGCAGGGTAGTACCTGCAGTGAACAGACCCACATGTTTGGACTTTATTTGCTCTAAATCTAAAGTTCAGTCTGAAGTGATGACGTCACGTCCCTGGGTTTAAAAATGAATTTAATGAAACATAAAAATCATTTGTTTCTGTTTGTGTCCGTCAGACTCACGTCAGGTTTAACTCCTTTATGTTTTTAAAGTCATCACGGTCCAGAAACCAGAGAATTATCACATGTTTGAGTGAACAGACCCAGAAGCTCCAGTTTAACTCTGTGTCGGGTTATTAGACGGGGGGGAGCGGGTTCTGGTGGGTTCTGAGGTTCGTTCTCGGGGTGTTTTGCTCGGTGTCTGGAGCAGGTCTTTGACCTTTCACCTCTTTCACCTCTTTTGTGGCTGATTTCGGGGAAACTATAGCCCGCCTTTGTGTCCGATAACGGGCGCAGGGCTCCGGGCCGCGGCTCTTATGGAGAAGGACGAGCTTTCAGATTCCGCCATTTTCTGTCGGGAAGAAAAGCCTCCGCCATGTGCCACGTCCCCGCGCCACGGCCCCAGAGCCGCGGCCAAAACCCCCGTGAACCCGCCGGTGTCAGGCGCACACGCTCCGAGGCACCGACAGGAAACTGTTTGATATTAAGTTGTTGGTTTTCCGGGGGAAGTCACGGAGAAATTTCCTATTTTACAGCGACGCGAGAAAAAACTACTTCCACATCCGGTTAGAGTCGAGCGCGCGGCGCGTCTCCGGCGCCTTTCCCGAGTTTAGCGGCGAAAAGCGGCGCTTCTGGAGCGTTTCGAGACACACCGCGGTGGTTTTACCGGAGCAGAGGCCGCGGAGGGCGGCGGCAGCAGCAGCTCAGGCCGCGGGGGATTTACTCACCGTCTCCAGCCTGGACAATGTGCGCGGTCCCCTTGATGCTACGGCTAACGCGTTAGCTCCGGGGCCAAACGCGTCTTAAAAGTCTCCGTGCGGACAGTTTGTGAAGTGCGTTAACTCTGCGGATCATTCACGGCTCCGGTGTGTTTCCCTGGGCCCGGACAAAGGCCTCGGAATGCGCCAGATTTGACCCACTGTGCGCCAAAAGTCCAGTTTATGCGCCGCTGCTGCTCCGCGGACCGACTGCGTCAAGAAGCGGCTGAACGCGGAGCTGCGCGCCAGGAAGACGCACTTTCACAATAAAAGCCCCGCACTGGCCCCATACTGGCACACACTGGCACACACACACTGGCACACACACACTGATACACACACACTGATACACACACACTGATACACACACACACACACTGACACACACACACTGACACACACACACACACTGACACACACACTGACACACACACACACACTGGCACACACACACTGACACACACACTGATACACACACACTGGCACACACACACTGGCACACACACACTGACACACACACACTGACACACACACACTGACACACACACACACACACTGACACACACTGATACACACACTGGCACACACACACTGACACACACACACACACTGACACACACTGATACACACACTGGCACACACACACTGACACACACACACACACACTGACACACACACACTGACACACACACACACACACACTGGACACACACACACACACTGATACACACACTGACACACACTCTGGCACACACACACTGATACACACACTGGCCACACACACACTGATACACACACACACACACACTGATACACACACTGATACACACTCTGGCACACACACACTGACACACACACTGATACACACACTGGACACACACACACACACACACACTGATACACACACACTGGTCCCGCTGCACTGACAGAGAAACTGCTGTGAGCCTCGTGTTCATGATGTTTGTGATCGTGTTGGTCTGATAAATGTGAAAGATGCTGAAGTCTGTGTTATTTAAATATAATGACACTAATGTAAAGACCCGGTGGGACTTTGATGAGTCCAGTCCAGGTGAGTCTGGTCAAGTCCAAATATTTGTTTGTGAAATAAACAGGTTTTAATTTGGAAGTACACGTGTGTCTTATAGACTTGGCGTAGACTTGGTTTTGTTTTGTTCAGTGGTTTAGACCTGATCTAGTTCAGGTTTAGATCGTGGTTCAGACCCATTTTTGATCAGTGTGAACACTCCACAGATTATACAGTAACACTTGTACATTTAGGTCAGATTCATGTCACTTCTTTCACTTTCACACTCAATAATATTATTATTTAATATATATATTTTTTTTTTAATTGAGGACATGATCACGAAGACACAGAATTTTCCAAATTCCAGTTGTCTGATTATGAGATGTTTGTAATTATTAAACACTTTTTGTCTTGATTCAGAATTTCTTAAATAAACTTGGTGAATGTAACTGATTCTTTTATTGTGAAGTGATAAACCGGAAGCGCGTCTGTTTACTTTGTTTACTTCTCTGTTGTTAGCATTAGCATTTAGCTTAGCCTTGAGCAGCTCATCAACTTTAAAAACTCTTATAAATAATTATTAAAATTAATTATTAAAATCTTTGTCCGCGGAGGACGCGCCCAGATCACCCCGAGTTTGAAGCGATTTATTCCCTAAACACAGAGTTTAGTGTCTGTTTTGGTGTCATGGCGGAGGAGGAGCTCCGGGGGCGGGAGCAGCGGGCCGCGGCCTGAGCTGTGCCCGGGATCAGGCGCCTCTGGGCGGGCACAGACTCACAGCCCCGCGGAGCTGCGCCTGGATCTGATCTGCGGTTCTGATAGAACTTATTATTATTATTATTATTATTGAAGACTGAAATGCAAAGCTCATAAATAATATTTATTTTAGCCTTTTCTTTGGACCAATAAATAATATAATAAAAATGTACAGCAGCAGTTCATCCCTCACCTCGAATACTTAAATTATTTAAATTAACACATGACACAAGTGAAGGCCTGGATTTTATAACTCTAAAATTAACCCTATAAATAAATAAAAAAAATTAAAAAAAAAGTATAATAGACGGATGGTGAAGGCCCAGTTCATCATTCTGAGATGTTTTATGGGGTTTCCCTGTGACGCCGCTGTCCGCCTGCAGGGGGCGCTATGGGTCTGACTCTGGGAGACTGGGAGCGTCTGTCTCCGCTCAGACCCGAGCGTCTCCGAGCATCAGTCCGAGGAGAGGCGATGCTGCAGCTGCCACACCACAGCCCCTGACCCCGAGCATTCACGGCCCGCGACAGGAGCACCATCCGCCCGGGAGAGGAGCACCATCCGCCCGGGAGAGGAGTACCATCCGCCCGGGAGAGGAGTACCGAGAGGCCGAGGAAAGCAGCAGCGAGGCCGGGGAGAGCGTCAGGGAGCCCGGGCTGGAGGTAAAGGAGAAAACGCTTTATTTATTGTGTATAATTTATTTTTTATCGTCGGTCCCGTTCATTTTTGTTTTGTTTATTTCAATATAATTTCAGTTTTATTTCTTCGCCGGTGTGGTTCTGTGTTCTGTCCGCGCTTGGAGACTCTGCCCCGGTGACTGTGGGTTCGTTTGACCCGCAGGAGCAGCTCTCGGGCCGGGGACAGACTGAGGCAGAGCCCGGGCGGACA